AAAACTCGGAAGGACTCCAAGCCTGGAAAGCCACCTTGAAGAACGGATGGCATCGTCTCTGAAAAGCCACCAACAGTCAACCTCATTGACTTTCCTTAAATCCTTTCAGCAAATAATGACCTCGGTTGCCCCAAAAACGATCTGATAATGGAAAGGGAGGGAGAGATCATCATGGCAGTGAGTCATCATCTCCCCGGCACCTTGAACTCCCTTCTCTGCAGGGCCAGAAGCCACGCTCCCAGCCGGAGCAGGGTGAGGTTGCCCCCAAGAGGTAAATCTGACACAGCAGCTGGAAAAGGGGGGAAATGCTGAATTCTGAAGATACCACCTAGGAAGGACTCTTTAAAAAAAAAAAAAGTCTCCTCATGTGCTCTTATTTTCAGCTTTGCCACCAGCTGAAAACATCTGTGGATGGGGTGGGAGGGGAGAGGAAGGTCAGCGTCGGCGAGCGGTTGGTTGGGTGTTAGTGTGTCCTGCTGGAGCTCCTCAACCACACGACTCGTTTTCCCAGATTCGCTTGCAGCGTCATTAGAAAGATCAAAAAACCAGCCACTGGGTTTCCTCCAGCCACACGAGACACCTGAGCCCCTACGCCTCGCCAGGTTCCTCCTGAGCAAGGGCTGGTGGTGCCTTCAAGAGCACCTTCTGTCTCAGGAGCAGGAGAGATTGTGGACACAACAGATGGTTTGGAAACTGCGAGAAGGCACGACGTGAAACCCCTCAGCCACCCAACATAAAGCATAGAGGCAGCCCATCCTGCTGGACCAAAATCCCAGTGGCATCACAGGGGGCAGAGGAGCAGGAGGGACGCCTGGGGTCCCGTCCCCCCCCAGCACACTCCCTCTCACCCCCCGGGGATCAGCAGCTCTCTCAGCCAGGGGTGGCCACTCTGATTTCATAGTCCCTGATGGATTTTTCTGCTGCGAAACGCTCTCTGAACCTCTAAGCTTTTAGCATCCACGCCATCCTGAGGCAAGTGGATCCCCAGCTCCTGTCTCCTTTGGTTTGCGTCGAGCCTTCCTGCTAATAAAAGAACTGCAGAGTCTGAGGCCAAATGACAGAGCAGCATCGAACCACTTCTCTCTATTTACCCTTTTTTTTTTTTAAGCCATTTCATTGTCGAGCTTCCCCGTCTTACTTTCCAACATCTCAACTCTCTCTGAGGGGGAGAGACAGCGCTGATTTAAAGCCACTGCAATTTATTCCTGCCCTACACACACACACACAGATTCCCTCCCGATGGAATCTGTGACATAATTCAGATTTTAACCATTCCTCGAGCCGTTTTTCGAGAAGTGTTTAAAATCCCCAGCCCAGATGTACCCGGGGTACTCACTGCTCCTGCTCCCTGCCCGGTTCAGCTGAAGAGCATCCCTGCATCCCCGGCCGCGGCGCCCGGCTCGCTGTCAGCTCCAAACTGGAAGCATCATCCCCAGAATGACTCGTCGCCGCTCGCTCCTGCCAGACTCTTAATTACGAGGAAGGCTGACACAGTTTCTCAGCAAACGGTGCTCGCCTACTGCAGGGAAAAAACAGAATGAGGGCATGAAAAAAAAAAAATTAAAAAAAAAAATAAAATGGGCTAATAAGAGAAAAATCAACCAGAGGGAAAAAAAAAAAAAAAACCCCACCTCATGCTGGGCAAACCTTACCATAACAATGCTGGAGCTCAAAAATACTGAAAATAAAAATAGGTTAGTACACAGGGGAGGGCAGGCAGCGCCCCACAAACGGGGAGGAGGGCTGATGGGCAGCGTGGCATCGCGGCATCCCCGGCTGCCAGGCCTCTCCCCGGGCAGAAGGGCCAGGCTGGGTTCCCTGCTCACAGATCAATGTCCCTCAGAGCCCAAAAGATGCTGCCCGAAGAGCCCACGGCGTGATTTACACCACCTTTATAAAAGCCCACAGCATGAATAAAGCACAAAACTTAATGCCCAGCCATCCCCTCCCCGCTGCCGAGCCCGGCAGATGGAAGATGCTATTTTTATTCCAAGGGCAACCTGGGGGTCAGCCTGGAGAGTCAAGGGCCCCCCCAGCTTCTCCTGCCTGCACCCCCAGAGCCAGGACTTCCATCTCCAAGCAGGGTTTGAGAAGAAGAGGGAAAGCTCTGGAGCCATCAAGCCCAGCCCTCAGGTGAAGGGACGCTCGCCCCCTTGCACAAAAGCAGCAAAAAAATTAAAAAAAAAAAAATCTCTTTACCCCTTTTTTGCTCTTCTCTGGGAGAGGGAAGGAGCATGGCTCTCCTTGCTTCCAAAGGGAAAGGCCAGGAGGAGGGGGTGTGTGAGCGTGGCCCTCATGGCCAGGAGCCCTCCCCTACGTGTCCCACCGGCCAAACCTGCCTGGAAAAGCTGGAGGTGTCCCCCCGGGCTGATGGTGAAGCCGCCTTGATGACAAGGGAAGGGAAAGATTCCAGTTTCCATCCCCTCCCCTATGACCTCCCCAGGGGGAACTGGGAGGCGGCAGGGAAGCTGAAGGTGAAACCCCAGGCAGAGAACAAGGGGAGGCATTCAAAGACACATCCAAATGCTGCTTAAAAAACCCAAAATTCACCTGGAAATACATCCTCACCAGCAGCCCGGAAGGTTGGGGAGCAGCTTTCATCGCCCAGACTAAAATATCAAGGTAGGAAGATGCAAATGTTTTTCTTCTCTCACCACCTCAGCCCTGCTTTTGACGGCGGATAAATTATTCCCTTTCAAATTCCTTAACTGCAAAGGCGAGGAAGGGCTGGCTGGAAAAAGCAGCAGGCAGGCAAAACACTAAAAGCACCTCCGCAAGGAGAAGCCCTTCGAGGAATTTACTTTCTCCAGGATCCTCCCCCTCCTCGGCAGCCCCCGCACTTGAAAGCCCTTTTCAACACCCAGATAAGAAGGGGCCCCAGCACAGAAGTTGGCAAAACATCCAGGAGGAGAAACACCAAGATATTTCACAGCCCCGGGGGGGAAAGATGGGAAAAGGGCAATTTGAATGTCATTAAGAGCGTTCTGATAGCTTAAACCACAAGGAACGAGCTAAATCCATTAAGGATTGTCTGACCTCTCCAGGCAGCCCCTTCGGAGCTCCAAGGGTGGGTCCCACAGCAGCCCCCCAAGGCTCCTCCAAGCTTCTGAGGTTGGTTGCCCACACAGCACCCGGCCAGTCCCCGGAGTCTGTCCTCTTTTGGGGACACTGGAACCAGCACCGACACACCAGTGCCACAAGCTGCTGGGGAACTTTGCTTTCCACTGGGAAACTTTGGGCAAAGTGGTTTCTCAAGAGCTCATGAGCCCAGGGACCAAGTCCCCAGAAGAATTAGGAGGGTCACCTCCAGCAGCACCCTTTCCAGTTTGTCCCTTCCAGTGGAAAACAAAGTCCCACAATCCCTAAAAGACAGCGGAAAGAAGAAACCTAAACATACAAAACCAGCCTTGAAGCATTCCTCCTAGTGGTGGGGTCAGCAGAAGAATCCTCTCTGTAACCAACTGCCTGGAAGCATCTGCCTGACCTTCCAAGAGACAGCATGGTCTCCAGCGCCCACAGCCCACCCCTGGGCTAAGTGACCTCTGAAGACCCAGAGCTGGCTGTTAGATGATGCTATAAGCACGAGCTCCTCTGATGGAGATGGGCCTGGTTCATCTGTGCCAGGAAAATTAACACTGCAGTAGCCAGCCCTCGTTATTAAAGAGGTCTTTTTCCACATTGGAAAATCCCCTCATGGATTCCACCTCTAAAATCCTCTCACGAGGCACTCTCAGCAGCTGCTGGGCCGGGAAGAACAGCACACTGGATGCGTTTGTTCCACTCATCTGCTTTTTTTCCCCCAAAAAAGATTATTCTTCTCAAGCTCAACCAGCCAGCACCGGGGACTTCAGAGAGTTCCTGCAGCCACCGCATCAATGGAGCGTCCGTGTCCTCCTGACCTTCAGCCAGAGCTACCTGCGAGTCCTTAATCACTTCTGAAATCCCCCTCCATTACCAACTTCCACAGCAAGAGCAGGAGATGTGCAAACACAATCCCTGGCAGGTTTCTTCCACTTAAAGCCAGAAGCTTTTTTCTTTTTTTTTTTTTTTTTTTTCATTTTTAAGCCATACAGAAGCTTGGCAAAAAAATAAGGAGAAAAAAAAAAAAAAAAGGCAGAGACACAAAGGTATATTTCATAGCCAGCCTTTAATTCTTTTTTGTGTGTACGTCTGTGATGACTGCAATAAAGTGCACCTAATTTCACATGAAATGAGATAACATGGCTCTTAATACAGCCAACATAATACCAAAAAAGACAAAAAACCTCAGTGCAAAAAACTCTTATCTGAAGACAATCAACCGAAGCCGTAAAGACGTTCCCTGCGCAAACAGCCTTTTCCCATCCACGCCGCTCCTGGCTGGGGGCCACCAAATGAGTCTGCACAAAACACACGAGGGCAGGGGGGTCTCTATTTCACTTCCAGGGGTCCCCAAACTCAGCATCCCTCTCCAAGGCCCCTCGGGATGGTGTCCGTAGGGATACCAGGGAGCTCCTGTTCCACCCACCTCTAGACCCAAGCAACCGGGGAATTACTCCTCGGTGAAAAATAAAAAAAAAAAAAAAAAAAAGAGATGGGAGAAAAAATCCAGATAAATCAAGAAGGGGGAGAGTGAAAGAGAAGGGGGAAACGCCAGGATGTCTACACAGGCATTGGGCATGGAAACACAGGGCTGGCCAAGCTAGGAATGACTTTCTCCATTTATAGTAGGCTCCCTCAGCTGCAAGCCCAAAGAACTACGACGTGTGTGTGGCCCCTGAGACCAAAATAGGACCCACTGCCATCTATTTTATTTTTTTTTTTGTGAGGCAGAGCTGAGGCGTGCCTGTTTTGTCCGGGGACATTTAATTAGAAAAGCATGTCTGGTTTTTATTTGTTCTTATTAAATAAAAGTAAATATCAAAGTGGTTATTTCATCTGGAAAAAAAAAAAAAAACAAAACAAAACAAACACCACCCCAGCAGTTTCAACGTGCTTGAACTGCAGTTCAAAGTGGTTATTTCATCTGGAAAAAAAAAAAAAAACACAACAAAACAAACACCACCCCAGCAGTTTCAACGTGCTTGAACTGCAGTACAAAAGCTGTTCATCTAAACCCCTCCCCCTTTCCTTCTCCAAAATATACAGGACAGCAACTTACACTTTACATGGTAAGAAAAATATATACACGTTACGTACAGTAACCATTCTGCAAGGTTTTTCAATTTTATACAACATTAGTGAGGAAGAAATATAAACATTAATAAAATTACATACAATATATTCAACAGAGTAAGCAACTGCTACCAGAGGGAAGGTGCATCCGCTATCGGAGTCAGGCAGAGAAAAGGAAAGCATTTCCATACCTATAAACCACCATGTCTTTTTTGTTTGTTTGTTTTAAGCAGTTCTATTGCCAAAAACAAAGATACCCTTTGAGGTAGATTCTTCCAATTCTTAAACAACGTGTTGAGATTAAAAAAAAACCAAAACCACACAACAAAAAAAGGGATTTTCTCTTCCTTCCCTCCCCTGGACAATGCCAGCAGCGTAACTTGTGGTTGAAGGAAGATAAGCTGATTACCCTGGGAAGGGCACGGAGCTGCTGCAGTCTCAGGCTGACTCTCTAACATTTGAAATGAAAGACAAAACATTTAATATGAATTTGCAAATAAGACACTTTCCCTAGAAGACATGTGTCCATTATGTAGCAGTTCCTTTATATGAAATATACATAATTAAATCTGAAGTTTTTTTTTTTTTTAAGCCTTATTTTTACATTCTCATCTCAGAAAGTTGTAGGGAATTCACCATACAAGACAAGACAGTCATCTACAAAAATTAAAAGGAACCAGTATTATAAAACGTACATGTTGGTATTATTAAAAATCTCACTTGTTAAGCACCAGCTGGTGCCTCTACTCAATATTTTAAACCTTCTCTTCATATATACACACACATCCTACAGGAAAAAAACCACAGTGTAAGATTGAAATAATGGCATTTGCACGGAGAGTGCAGAAGGAGACTGCATTTTCCTCTGGTTATTTCCCAAGCAGCTCTTGGAGCTTTGCACACACACAAAGGAACGTGGACCTCCTACAGCACCCACAGCTTTTACACACCCGGGCCAAACCCTCAGCTCCTCGAAACTCCAGAGCTGCTATTTTAGAATGAGTATTTTCTCACTTTGGAGAAAGCGCTGAAGCCAGATAACAATTATGCTTCTCTCTTAAAAAAGCACTGACAACAACACTACCGGTGTAATAAGGTTTCATTTGTAACTTGGTTTTATAGAAACGCTTCCTGTGCAGTCACATCCACTGCACAAATCATGTCGGGAGGTGAGGAAATTCAGTTAAAATGAATGCATCACTGTCATAAAAAATTCTATTTTCTTACTGGATAAAACACAACCACAGAGGAAAGAAGCACCCACTTAACCTTTTTGGGCACAGCCAACTCTTCAGCTCCGTTTCCACCCTCAAAGCAACACGAGAGCAGCCAATTGCTCACATGCAACTGCCATATTTTATATGTTTTAGAGACACTGGATGGTCACACCAATTCTGTGTGCAGGCAGTTCTGTTACTCACCCCAGTTCTGAACCACCTCCTCACCTGCTCACAACAGGGGAAGGTCCAACACTGTTTCTGAGCTCACATTCAATGTCACGGGGCAGCTCTTTCCCAGCCATCCCAAAACAACACTTGCAGGTGTGTGCTGGCAAGAAAACAGGTACATATGGTTTTCAAATAACTCTTGTGATTAACAACAGGAACAAGAAAGCTTCCCTCAGGTTTCCATCCGATAAAATATTTCTAGCCAATTCAAACAGGGCTATAGAAATAGCTGGTTTGTTTGTTTTTTTTTTTTTTCTCAGTTTACCCACTTCAATTTTTCAGAATTAGTGTATTAAAAACAATGTTAGTCAAATTAGCTCCTTGTGTTCCTACTATTTGCCTGAATCAAGCTCAACTTCTAACTCAGGTGACTGATTTCTTCTGTTCCGACCAAGGTGAAGCTCCATTCATTCTACATCTTCCTTGGTTTCAGAGTTGTTCTGTTATTTTCCCTGAACTAGGCAAGGTTTCATGAATCTGGCTCCCAGAAGTCATGCAGTTTTCCCTAAAGAGTAAAAACAAAACAGTAACCAAGTCAGAAAACCAATGACAGAAGAAGAGTAGAGTCGGCAAATGCTTCACTTGAGGTCACCACAACATGTTGCAAATCCCTAGAATTTTATTCTGAAACACTTGCCAGTTTCCCCATATGTGGGTATGAACCCCAAATAGCTCTGAAAAAACAACTCAGAAAGAACTGCATTTTTATCAACTTTCATCCATTGCTAAGTAGCTTCTGCAGCCACACGTTACTGTCTAATTCCTTTCCCCCTCTATAACGAGAAATATCACACACACTACAAACGATGTCTCTTTCACACATTGCTAGGAGCAATTAATAGTCTTTACAGACAAACAGTTGATTACACAATTTTTAACCGAAATCAATACTAAGCATATATGCATAATTTAAATTTTGTGTAAGCAATAAACTACATTACTGGAAAGCTAAGCTTTTCCAAGACAGGTAGCTTTATATTCCAAGACAGGACTAACAGAAAGAAACCTTGCAACCTTGCAACCCTAGACTGGAAGAAACATCTCTGAATTCTGGATATCAGCAGAAATTACCCACCTATTCCACCAGGGCAAATATTAATGAGAGACTAACCATGCCATTATTTACTACTGCATACTTTTACAGGCTTTTCCTAATCGTTGCATGAAATTTGACGCATTAAAGGGGGAGCCATTAAACACAGTGTGGATAGAGCCCTGGACTCAAACGGTCTCGGTGTCACACAGCACCACAGCAGGAGGTGTATCACTGCATTCCTGCCCCCATGTCCTTTTCGAAGCATCTGCTAATAACTATAATCAGGGACAGACCCTGTGACTTAACTCCATACTAGCATTTTAGTGTATCACACAAACCATCTACAAAACCAGCACTTTGAAGGATAAAGGTGAAATCTTGGTTTTACTGAAGCTAGCAAAGTCAGAATTTTAATTAAAATCTACTCTAATATATCTATGTATATTCCACAGCCATGACATTTATTTTTTTTTTTAAATCTCTTTAAAAGACTACGTTATTTTCAAATGCTAAGAAAAATGAGTTAAATGCACCCAGGAATAGGAAAAGAGAGAAAAAGGTTTCGTTACGGTACCTGAGTAGGCCGAGTGGTTTGTATCATATCTTGCCATTTCCCATATATCCTAGCAACTAAATCTTTTACCTGCAAATTCAGATTGATTGCTTTAGCCATTTATGTTAAAAAAGCCAAAAATCATACCCCTCCCTGCCTCCCACCCCCCAAACCCCCAGATAACCCAAGACCCAAGGCTGACCAGGAGGGCACAATTTTACAGCTGGCACAAAGAATCACCACTTCAACTCCAGCCATATCCCCGTGATTTGGGACTCTGAATTCAAAGTTTAACTCCACACAAAGACATTGCAGGCACATGACTCCCCACGTGAAGTGTCTGGAATCAGCATATGAGCCTCTGGCCCCTAAACCCTCACCTCATCCTCCAGGTGAGTTGGGTTTGTTACACAAGTCTGATCTTGTGTATCTAGAGAAGGTGCCTGCAACTGCACTCACAAAAGCCAATTCTGCAGCACCGTCTGCTTCCGATACGAATTCCTTACATATAAACTGGTTTTTTTTCATAACCTCAAGCAGTAGCTTAAATCCAAGCCAATTAGAACTGAGGTCTGTGTTCAAACCCAGCACAGTGGTGTCCTCTGGAAGTTCCTTCACCATTACACATATAAATGACGGGGAAAACAGTAAGATTTCCCCCCCCTGAGTACAAGGGCTAGAGAAACAAAAGTGAAAGCAGCCCAAGATACAAAAATCCAAGGCAAAATTCATTTAACTTATTAAAAGGATCCATGCTCTACTGATCCAGCACAATAGAAAAGAAAAATCTTCTTGACTAGATGATCATAAACGTCCCTTCCAACCCAGACAATTCTATGATTTCAAATATTCCAGCATTGTATCAGCTCGGTAAACACAACTGCAAATGTTTGATTTAAAGCTGAAGAAGTCAAGGCTTTTCAAGCTGTGGTCAGACACTTCATCGCTGATCTGATTTGTCTTGCTCCGACGGCATGCAAGGCATCAAAGTCACAAAATCAGGACTATCATTAGCAAGCCTCACACCACAAAGCAAACAAAAGGCAATTATCCAAGCTCGATGCTGCATCACATATACTTCTGGCTTAAATCCACAACGTTTTTAACTAACTCATTAATTTTTAAATAAAACAGAGACATGCAAGATAAGGTAGTTTTTCAGTTCTCTGTATCCTGCCCTGCACGGAGCCTCTGCTCTTAAAAGTAGAGTCAACTATCAGTGACTGCCAGGAAAAGAAACTCTGTGGGTATGGAAGTTGAGATGCTGAGCTAAAAAGATGACAAGCTCACATTTTACAGTTGTTAAAGAGTCCCGTTGTTAGCAAAAAGAGTATTTTTAGTGCATTAAGAGGGACATGTATTTATGTACATGAGAAGACCTGATGCAGAGAAACCAGAAAAAAAAACAAATTTAGAATTTCCAGGGCTGGGATGAGGGAACAACATGCACCAGGAACACCAAAAACCACCCCAAAAAACCAATTTGTCTTACCTTAGTTCGATAAAACAGCCTTGCATCTTCCCTAATATCACATTTTATGTGCTTATCTAAGGCACCACAAAGCTTCAGTAAGTGTTGCTAAATAAAGACAAAAGCATACAAGCTAGTTAAATTCTCCACATCAAAACCAAAACCTTCCTTATTTCAATTTAAAAATTGCATCCTTCAATTTGAAATCTTCCCAGACATGTAAAGTAATGTAGGGGGAAAAAAAAGAAAACAAGATCCTCTGTTAGATGCACCCAATAAACCAGTTCAAACAACTCTAAAAAAATAGTTTCAAAGTATAGCAGAGCTATACATCAGAAATTTCCAAGTTCCTACTAGCTAATTTGTAAATCTTTTCTGTCCCCAAAGTATCACACATAGTGCCATTCAGATCTTTTATCTGCAAAAGAAAGTTCTGAAGTTTCAATAGCTAAAAATAACCTTTTCAGTAATGACGACTCAGGTAATTTTCTTTTGTAGGAATTGGCTGAGCAGGTAAAACACATTCAAGGTTTATGCACTGATCTTCTTTCTCTCTAAGTTTCTGATTACTTTAATAAGGCAGTTTTGCAACTCCCTAATCTCCTGATAATGACTCCCAAGATCTTTCGCATTCTGTGAATTCCTTCATAAAATTCTTCTTTTCAACCTCCCCACTGAACAGCTGCAAAGAGGCTCCGCTCTGCAGAAGAGGTGAGACATCCTGAAATTCTACTTATAAACATTTGCTGGTGTCTCAAGAGCATTCCAGTTTATCCCATCTAACTGGAAGAGGACCAAAAAAAAAAAAAAAGAGTTTTATTGATTTTATACAGAGTCTAGGCTGCACAATATTCAGCCACACCCCTCTTGCCATTTGATGGCTCTAAGGTCAGTGAATAATAGACTTTCTTCATTAAGAAATACAGAGATGTCAAAAAATGTAAAAAAAGATCAAGTTCTCCACAAATCTTCAGGAAGGCAGTTGTAAAAAACAATCTCAAAAGACCATCACAATACAAATATTTTCTTTACCAATTATGCTTTTGTTTCAGATCACACTCTGATTATCTTTTTGCACCGAGCAGGGAACTGAGCCGCTTAAGCCCTGAAATGTAACCAAACATTCCTGCTTTGCCTCCCTCCAACCCTTCATGTGACAAGATTTCTTAACAGCCAAGAGCAATTCCACGGGGCAGAAGGCACCTTGCAGCAAGGAACTGGCAGCAAATGATCCCAGGGATCTGAACAGGATTAGCAAAAGGCTGAGCAGAAGCTATTACTTCACAGATGATCACACCACGCGGCGGGAAGGAACTATCACAACAGAGAAGAGACACAGTCCCAGCTCTCACCCCCAGCACGGAACACAGGGATGTGTTTGAACGTGTTTTATTGGATATTTTCAAAGCCATTTTCTTCTCAATTGAAAAAAATTTCAACCTTACTTTACTTCAAAAGTTCATAGGATCATTGGACTTCTTGGAATTTCTATGTTGAATTAATCTCCAGTTACCTTCTGAGAAAGATTAACAAAATGAATGTCTGCTGATCCACAGCTTTATGTTTAGAGGTAGTCCAATTTGCAGAAATGCAGAAGAGCTTTCTCTGCACTTACTGCAGAGAATGAAACCTCTTCTGCATTTATTTTGCCCCAAAACAAAAGCTTCTCCCCAGTGCTATTACCCACCGGCGATCTTCTATCACATGATAGCTCTCACCAAAATAAACCAAAAATGTATGATAAATAGTCTTTTAAAACCTAAAGATCCATCCGCTGAAGTTACTTACCCTTTGATTAGAATTTACAACATCGAAGAAACTGGCTTCGCTGACTAGATGGAGGAGGATGTAGATTAGGTAGTATGCCTGGAGAGAAACCAGCAGAGCTTTAGCAGTCAAAGCACAATCATAACCCTTCACATCTAGATAGAGCATCATCTTAGCCTTCTGGAATGATTCCTCCAGCAGCCAGATCAATGGACAAGTATGTCTACACATTAGCCTAAATAACTAATTTGAAACAGCACACTCATAGATTAGAAACACTTTAAAACAGTATTACACAGTTTTAAGTTAGATAAGTAACCTACAAAGCTTTCTGTAGTTTTAATTACTGAAAACTAAATTCAGCAGTTGGCTTTATCTTCCTATCATATACATCCACATCAAAATACTTGCCAAGAAATTTTATGATAGACTCAATTAACCAAAACAATACTCAATTGCTGGATGGGGGAAAATACTAAATTTTTCTAATACTTGTTTATAAAAAAAAGATCCTTAAGAGGTGCATGAATCCCCTTCTGAAGCCTGCAGGTGAAGGTCTGACTCAGCATCAGTTTTCACCGATTACATCTGAATGGAGGGAGGATGGTCCTCGGATTACAGAAGACAGGACTCAAGACATCCATGTGCCTTAGCTCTGCAGAAAAGATGATGATTGCCCTGTTTGTAACACAGCCTAATCCAGCTTCCTCTGTCACATGCTACTTCTTTCCTTCCTTCCTGACTATAATCAAAATTGAACATGAATAATATTTTAACTGATACAGATGAACACCAACAAATCAGTGTACTTACAGTTCCACGTACAGAACTGCCCTCAGAAATTAAAATCAGTGTTCTCAAAATTGTAGAAGATTCATAAAAAGACAAGTGCAAAAATGCACTGTCTGCTCTATACCTCCTGTTCTAGCTCTGTCTGAAGGTGGTCTCCATCTGCATTCTGCTGCTCCACTCCTCCTCTCATCTTCTTTAGCAGGTTAGAAGGTTTCATGTACACCAGATACTGAAGCAGAAGAGACATCTGCAAATACAAGCATTAACAAATTGAGCTGCCTTACTGGCCACAAAAAATTGAAACCAAGTGCCACTAAAGCATATTATCTCAACTAAGACAAGAATATAAAAGGGATTTTAAACTAAAATTGAGGTTTTCATGCTTTGGGTATTTTTTGACTATTCACAAATTAAGTGTTTGTACATTGCCTCGTTAAAAGATCAACCCTAGGAAAACAAAGTGACTCTACATGAACACAAAAAGAAGACCGAAGGAACCTTTTTCCAATGTCCCAAATGAGTATTAAGGCACATAAACAATAATGCAGTTACAAGGCGCAGAACACGCAGGTTCCACACAGCTTGAAAAAGATACTTCTAATATTGATCTAAACTAATAATTACTAATTGGTCATTTCGCGAGGTTCTTGAGAACAGGCTTACAGTATTAAAACATACTTAAATCCAAATAATAATAAACATGTTTTCTAAACTTTCAAATGATACACAACACACATATGCAGTACCTGCTTGTCACTGTCATCAGGTATCCCTGTATGGTTTTTATTAAGCAGCTTTGAAATAATCACTAGGCTAAGACGTCTTCTTACTTCCCTGAAAAACAATTTTTTGAAGTTATTTCCCAGAGAATTTCTTAAATCCACACTGTTTCTACAAAGCATATGAGGCTAGGCATGTCTTCCCTAAGCATAAAGGTCCTTACAACTACTAAAGCAGATTTTCTGAATAGAGGTGCTATTAAACTAATAAAGAGGCTATTAAAATATAAGTACCTGTATCTCATTGCAGCTTCTTTTTCTGCCTGAAATTGAGGAACCAATTCCTTCTCCTCACTCAGCTACATTATAATTAATTAGTTTCAAAAACAGAGAACTCATAAGAGATTGACCTCAAACATAGACATGAATCACCCAAAGAAAATGTAACTTTTGGTCATTCAGAGAAGAATTAAAGTGATAGATGTCAGAACGTGAAGTTGCTCAGCCTTTCTTTACCATAGAGTACCAGGAATTTTGCAGCCCAGAAAACCAGACAAAACGTGAAACAACCCTTTTTTGAAGCAGAGGTGATCAAGAAGCCATAGATGCACATAATGAGAACTGCACATACATCTGTAACATGAGAGAAAACCCAAATACTTCTTTCTTTTTAAGCACCTATTGAATTATTTGACTTTAAGCTTATGCAAATAAACCAGCCATTAATGATTCAAACAAATTAGCTGTTAATAATACTACATTGATGTTACTGTGTTCTTACCGTCCACGTATTACCCAGCTGGGGACCAGTTGAACCAGCCACAGGAGATTATGGTGGTGACTGGAGAGTTCACTCACTGCCAGGCACAGCTCAGGCATCTTTAAAACAACAACAACGAAGAAATCTTGAAAATTACTGAAGAACAGATATTGTGACCATTTGTTTTATTTGCAGAGTAGACATCTACTCTCTAGAAACATACACAACAGAAGCATTAAAAGGAGTTGGGCTAATGAGAGATGACGTGCAGCAAGATATTTCTGTAGTTAAGTCTGGTAAATACGATGTGACAGTAGGTAGTTGAGATCAGATTGTTTTTTCATGACATTTTATCAGCTTATTACACTTTTTTCTTCATTCTTTCAGAGAGCCATTTTAAACATATAGCTATATTAGTAAATACAAGATTAAGTTCAATACAACAGGTCCCTTGCAGAAGAGGACAAGGACACAATGTCATGTGACAAAAACCCTCTTGGTGTATCCACCCACCTCCTAAATCTCACACAAAACCAAAGGTTCCCAATTTGTTCATATTACATTTTCAAGCAATTTTTTTTTTATATCAAGAAAAAAAAATGAAAACTTCAAAACAGAAGTTTCTTGAAAATTAAGTTGCAGTTCCATTGATCTAGTACAAGAAAATTACTTGTGACTAGTTACCTTTGTATCCCAGTCTTCTATGCTTATCAGAAGCTTTATGAAAAGGCACTGAAAATCTATCAAAGGAATTTGCTTCAACTGTTTCTCCAAGCTTATTTTAAATAGCAATAGAAGCAGCAGCAGTATTTCTTGATCAGTATATCCACCTTGAATTACCGTTGTACAGAAACCTAGAAACTTTAAAAGAAATAAAAAGCATTAAAATCTGAAATGGGTTTAGCTTCTTTTGAAGTATGATGAGAACTTAAGTCTTCCACCCCCACGTTAAAATGCGTCTCAGGTGATCTATTGTTCTTGTTGTGTACTAACATCTCCCTGGCCACCAGTAACTGCACTCTTTTTTTTTCTTTAATACCTGCTGGAGGCTCATCTTTTGAACGATGCCGATACTCCCTGGACATTACAGGAGCAGGAAAGATCTTTCTCCAACTGCACAGACAATCCTCATCTAACTGAACAAAAGACTGACAGACTTTATAAATATCCAAGTAATACCAAAAACATAAATCAAGAGAGATTTTTCCCCACCCAAGTAACAATGAGGCATGTGTGCATAAAAAAGAGCACAGATTAATCAGGAAATGTGCACTCTGTCTCTAGTGGAAATGCTCTGAGTGCTTCCTCTTAAACTAAGTGATTTTTATACTTAAAAGTCTCTAAGGAAGTGATGTGAGAAGGAATCAAATACTTCTACATGGAACTCTGAAATTGGTTATAAAGTCAGTATTTCACCATACAACCTCTAATCACAGAGAACTAGTCTGTGAAGGGTGACCAGGATGAATGATCCGAGGGCTGGAGCCCCTCTGCTGTGAAGACAGGCTGAGAGAGCTGGGGGTGTTCAGCCTGGAGAAGAGAAGGCTCCAGGGAGACCTTGTAACATCCTTCCAGTACCTGAAGGGGCTACAGGAGAGATGGGGAGGGACTCTTGGTCAGGGAGTGGAGCCACAGGATGAGGGGTAATGGTTTTCAATTGAAAGAGGGGAGATTTAGATAAGATATTAAGAAGAAATTCTTTCACAGAATCACAGAGTGATATGGGGTTGGAAGGGACCTCTGGAGATCATCCAGTCCAACCCCCTGCCAAAGCAGGGCCACCCAGAGCAGGTTGCACAGGAACGTGTCCAGGTGGGGTTTGAATGTCTCCAGAGAAGGAGACTCCACCACCTCCCTGGGCAGCCTCTTCCAGGGCTCTGCCACCCTCACAACAAAGAAGTTCCTCCTCATGTTTAGATGGAGCTTCTTATATTCCAGTTTGTGCCCATTTCCTCTTGTCCTGTCCCTGGGCACCACTGAAAACAGACTGGCCCCATACTCTTGACATCCTCCCTTTAAGTATTTATAGGGGTTGATCAGATCCCCCCTCAGCCTTCTCCAGACTAAAAAGATTTCCTGTGAGGGTGGTGAGAGCCTGGAAGAGGTTGCCCAGAGAAACTGTGGCTGCCCCATCCCTGGAGGGGTTCAAGGCCAGGCTGGATGGGGCTTGGAGCAACCTGGTCTGGTGGGAGGTGTCCCTGCCCAGGGCAGGGGGTTGGAACTGGATGATCTTTAAGGTCCCCTCCAGTATTCTATGATTCAAGCTACAGTCTCATGAGGCAGCATAAAACATACCACCCAACACCAACTCCCCTTCCCATTTCCACTGAACACCAAAATGGATCATTTCTTCTATGTGAGGGAGCAGAGGCTCTTGATAAAGTGCCACAGCTGGAAAAGGGAGGCAGCACAACCACGCAGCGGTGAGTGATGCCAATGGAAAGGAAGCTCTAAGGTTTGCAACAAGCCTCCTGGATGTGAAGCTGAAACACCAGGATAGCATCTCCTCATAAAACATTCCCAGGACTAGGTTAAAACCCCAGGCTTTTTGCTAAAATAGCAATAGGAAACAACAAAAAAAGACCCATCACCACCCCCTCAAAAAAAAAAAAACCAACCACCCAACACAAAACCCCTCCCACACTAACTGGAGGTTTTCTTACCTTAATCACATTAATTAAATTGTGTTCTGGTAGACTGGAAAAGGCTGGACTGGCACAGGTTAGGTCTCCTCTTGCCTGTTGTTTACTCACTGTTTCTTCCATCTCACTTCTAATAAGAAAGACACTAATCTGAGCTATAAATCAACAATTCTATGATTCTATAATTTAAAGGCTCTCAAAGGCTTATCTGCATCAAACTGAAGGAAAAAAACCCAACCCCTGCATGCTTCAAAATGCCTTCAAATCAAAACATTCCTCGGTTTCAGAGCATACACATCTATCTTAACTCGTGACTTAGCTAGAATTCTGCCCAGGTATTTTGGCAACAATTCCTGTAAACCTTCATTAAGAAAGTGCAGGACAAAGGACAATGCTCTGGTTTGCCAAATCCTTACCTGGTAGGCCTTGTTTAAAATTCTGGCTTATTTACTCTTATTAAGACCCGAGCTGAGAATTTAAAGAACAGTATGGCTTGATGGAAGGGAGAGGAAATAAAAGAAACCTTCCAATTCTACATTCTAAGCACAAGACTCGCTTTCATGGGATCTAAGCAATAAATATGAAAACACTTACAAAATATCACACTCATTAAAGCTGGGCTGAAGATGCTGCAATGGGAAGAGAGATCTAAAAGCAACACCCATATTGACAAAAGCAGCTGACACATCGGCCAGTGAAGGAATCCATGGTTTAGACTGTTCATCGCTGATGGAAGCTGCAAGTAAGAGACATGGAATGGATTACTCTTAAATCTAGTTCTTAGCATCAGTTCCTTCTTTTAAGGGAAACAAAGAAGCTCATCAACCTGTATCAATTCTACCAGCTCTCATCCCAGAAGAGCTGGTACACTGAACAACATGCTTATTCTCAGAATCATAAGGGGGAAAAATAAGGTAGCCCAACACAGTATTTTAGGTTAGGGAAACATCTTATCTATGGAACAGGTGAATTACTTAAAAGTTCCACCCATTTTCCCTCACAACTGTCTTCCATCACAAACTACAGAATAAGCAAGGAGGCAGTATCTACTTTTGAGAATACATAGATCACTGTCCTGTGCAGGTACAACTAAGGTGTTATCACAGTGCGACTGGAAGCAGAGCTAAATCAAACTTGAAAGCAGACAAGTTTTCTAGAACACAAGCATTAAACGTGGAATTCACTTATTTGACAGAAAGAAGAAAACAATGCTCACTGCAAAAAGGCCTGATTGTGTCTGAAAGCCTGAAAACCGTACAGAGGATTTTCTACAGGACACTAAGGTAGCAAGGTAACATCAAACTAGATGCAGTGTTTTCCAAGCAATGGCAGAAGTCACTAGAATTCTGAATTGGGTCCATTTTTTATCAAGACAAACACCTAAATGTAACGGAACATAACACTCAAGACACTATAGGTTCAATCTCAATGTTCAATTCAGTAAAAAAATGATAAAAACCATGCATCCTTAGTTAAACGCTGGATCAGAATGTCTCAGAATGGTTGAAAGTCTCCACAGTGGCAATTTTAAAGTTGTTAGACAACTTTTCAAGTGCAACTGTAACCTATGTGATCCTGCTCCAAGGTCAGTGATCTGCTGCCATCTCTCCCAGCCTTAATTCTTCAAATGTTCATTCATCAGCTTGAATCCTTCATTCAGAACCAAGCTTAATGCCAGCAGAGCACAAAATAAAGGAGGCTACGCTCCCTCTCATATCAGCTCATGAAATCACTTTGATTTCAAACAAGATTCAAAATATGCCATACCATTGGGACAGCCCTGAGCAAGTACTTCAAGAGAAGTGCATTACTTTAACGATGTTAACTGGCAGGCTTTAATGAATTAGTGACTTTTGGTGGATCTGAATGAAGACATGAAGAACATAAAAAAGGAATTTCTACTAGATAAGTATTTGATAAAGGAAGGCAAAACACACAAGATACAAGCAGCAGTGTGGGCTGAAGAAGATTCTTGAAAGTACTTTTGTGCAGGTCTATGATTCTTTTCACTTCTGCCATTGATCTGGAAGGTAAATACCTACAGCGCGTAACTATGAGAAAAACATCTTGGGTAAGACATTAAGCTATGAAATGAATGTCTATATCTTCCAAAGTAAAAGACAGAAAGGAGAGTAAAGCTTTTGAGCAGACTGGGCTCTTCTTCAGGTCAATTCTATTTATGAAATAACAGAAGTGAGTTTGAAAAGGCTGTGTACTGGATGCAGTGCTTTGCAAACACATGCCAGGACCACATCCTGTGGTACAGCTTGCACACACTATGGGAAGACCAACTCCTACCGTTTGTGCATTACGTAAATAACAGAAGAGCCTAAAATCATGCCAGAATCACAGAACAGAGCCTTTTACTTCCTCACCAATACCTTTCTATTCTTAACAGAAGGGAAATGCCTTCATTCAGGTGGTCAGTTTTCCATCCTTCATATACTCACCATTTTTTAGTGTTATCTCCATCAATCTGTCTAAAATCTGGGTGGAAACACAATAGTCAGGATGAACAGACATCATCTGCAGAGAGAAAAGGAGCTACATGTCAAACACCAAGTAGCACGATGGCATTAGTTTTCTTTTAATTAAAAAAAAATAGTAAACCAACTCTTTGGTAAAATAAAACAAAGCAACAGAAAAGACCCAACCCCAAAGACTCTAAAGCAAGATATTCCAAGGTGAACAGACTATTGTGAATATTGATTATTTAAAGCAGTGCACAGATGCTATGAATACTTTAAAATTAATTATTAGCAATATGAGAATGTTGTGACTCCACATGGAATCTGTTGGTCAATAAGAATGTACTGAGAGTTAAGAGAATGGAAAGTATCACATATCCCTTTGGAACCCATTTGCATCTGAGATCAAATTGAACTCCTTGATGAGGAGCAGGGGCAACAGAGTTAACTACAACCTTTCCCAGTCATGGGGAACTTGAATATATACAATACTAAACCAAAACCAATGAATTAGTTTTTCATAGAACTCTGTACTACAAAAACATGACTCTGAAGTAGAGTTCAGTTTTCCTGAAGCACTTCTCTAGCCCAGGAAAAGCCTCCTCTTCTTTTTCTCCCTCAAGTGCTGGAGAGTTTCCTGCCTGTAAGTGAGCTGAATTGGCTCACGCTTCCTCCTCATTAGAGGAACACCAGGGCTCACACAAGGGGTGGAAGGCAATTTTTTTACTGGCTTGGAGGGAAGGAACATAGAGAAACAAAATGTTTCCCTTTTGGCAAAAGCAGAAAGCCAGTCAGTAGATGCAGGCTGCAATTTGACACACTTTCTTTTTTGTTTCAGGCACAGTTTGAATGTAGTAAATAATAACAGAATGGAGACCGAAGAGAGGTGCATTTTTGTGAGGAACAGAACAAAAATTCCTGGTGATTTAGACATGGACACAGACATCTAGAAAGCAGACAGACACCACACTTCCTGTAAGAACACCTTCAGAGTTTTTCTTGAGCCATACTGCACTTCAGCCTTTTAAAATGAAAAATATCTGATCTTGTGGGCATCTCTGATGATTTACAAGGTGATATAGGTAGAAATTGTACTTTTGCATAGTGCAGCATGCTTAGAGATTTTTGTTTGGTTTTTAAGGGTGGAAGGAAATAAGACTAAAAATTGCTTGTTGTTTGGCCCACACTATTATATGCTGAGATCTGTTCCCACCTAGAGTGTACTGTGCCCTTTTCAAATGCAGTAACAGACATGAAGATGGACAGGGACACGCAGCTTTGCAGTAACTCAAAGTGTGGAGAAAAAACTACTCCTAGTGTTTTACCTCAAGGGACAATCATAGAATCAGAGAATTGTCTAGGGTGGAAGGGACCTTTCAGATCACCTCATCCAACCATCAACCTAACTCTGATAGAAACCATCACTAAATCAAAGCATTTCAGACTGGAGAGCAAATCAGAACTCAGAAAGAAAAGATATTTTTTTATTTAAAAGTTTGTTAAGCTAATGCAACAGATTCACAAACTTGTTCTGATTCTTCCTGCTACAACTGGCTTCCAGGAAGAATATTACACCTGCTCAGAGTAAAACTGTGTGAATAGTAGAGTCTTACCTGGAAAAGCCACTTGAGAATCGGTATGGGACACAAGATACAGCTGTAAGCAGAACTTAGAAAACCATTAACAGCTAAGGAGAGCTGCTGGGTTACACCAGAACTGTAGGACAAAGACAGGTGGGGGGAAAGAGGAGAAAAAAAACCATCAATTAGTGATTGAATCAGCACTTTCACAATAGTGTAAGAACTTCCCCGCCCCTCAGACCATCATCAACAGCAAACAGAGATCTGAACATCCAAAACAGATGTTACACCTATGCTCCTACCTATATAAAATACTATCGTAATTACACTTTATTTGTGATTTAGAACAAGTATATTTTTCTCCAGAACATCATACTCTATGATTTGAAACATCTGTATTAGTAGAGAATAACAGCTTCAAACAAACACTGATTTACATGGTTGGACTATAAACCATGATGCCTGTCTACCCAGCTGGGCTGCTCTGCTCAGCAAGACCAGTGAATAAGACTTTTTACTGTCCAATGGCTTTTACCAACACTTTTAGAAGAAAAGAGAAAAAACAAACAGCTTTGAAATGTTGACAATAATCTTTTAAATAAATATTTTGGCAAACCAATTAAGGTCAAACAGTGCATCTTACTGTGCAAGTTTGTGAGGTACAAAAGGTTACATTTGGAAGAACAGAAATTAGGTCATTTTTATTACTGAATTATTTTAGCTTGAGTCTTCTTTAGAAAATCAGGTACGTCAAAAGCAGCTGAATTGATGATTCCCAGTTCCCCACATACCCTTCTTTAGTCTCCTCTATTCTCAGTAGCTGCTACAACAGGTAGCTCTGTCCAGAGATCCGTGTCCTGACTTCTCCACGTGCCCTCTACCTGTCTGACTGAGCCAGTGGTGAGGAAGACATCCACGTGCCAACTGGACAGCCAGTACATGCCAGCTGTGCCAACTGGGAAGCATGCATAAGCAATTAAATCCTAATTGCCTTCTGGAAGGGATGATCTATTTAATTTTCATTCCTCTAGCCACTGATTGACAAGATACTTTTGAAGCTTCTATCTTTGTGATCTTCAAAACATTAATAGAGAGCCCTGAAGCCAAAGGAGTATATCACAAACATCTCTCCCTCAAGACATGAGGAGAAGCCACCCTCCTCCTCATCCTCACACCCACATATACAAAATCCCTTAAGATTAAATGAATTATCTCAGGTTCACTCATGCAAGTTTGGAATAAAACACCAACTGAAATAATGAGGATTTTTCAGGATTTGCACCTGTGGCATTAGGCACGAATTTGTCCAGCTCCTTGTAGCCCGACAGGCTCATAAATAGAGAACACCAATCCTGAGAACAGTTGTTTATATACATACAGCTGCTCTGCTGGCCCAGTGACTGAATCTAACAGATGTCAGCAATCTGGACTGTCTGCAATCCTCCTCAGGTGGAGCCTGAGCCCCAGCCCATTCCGGATGGAAACACCTAAGAGACTGCCAGCAGGACAGGAGGTGACACTGGCAGGTCACAAATCAGGTCACCTCAAAGGTCCTCTTTCTGTCTCGGGATAGCTAAGCTTTTGCTCGTTATAACATTTCACTTCTGCATTTGTCTGCCCCAAACTGGCCAGATTACCAACAGTAGCCCAACACAGTACAGAGATATGGAAGAGGCCAGAACAGCTATTTTTTCCCCTTATGTCTCATTTAAGATGTTTTTCAGGAATGCCAAAGGAGAAAAGAAAGAAGCTTCAAGCAACATTTCACTATTGTGTAAAGTTAACCTGAAAGGAGAGTGCCAGGGAAAGGGAGTCAGCCTTGCCTGCTTAGTAAGACACAGCTCATTTGCATGCAAAGACATTATTTCATCTTACAAACTGCTAACACTGAAGAATGTCGTACAAGCACACAAGGAGTGAAGAAGATATTCTTACCTGAGAAGGAGCTTTTCTATAGGATTCCGAGGGATGAAATGAAAATTCCTCAAGCCAAGGTTATGTTGACTGAAGATTTTCCCAGAGGTCGATAAATCAAATATATCTTCTCCAGGGTGGTAGTCAGGTATAGCATCAGCTATTACTGAAAACTTCTTTATAAATGCCCTGTAAAATGCAAAAGTGCTTTTAGGAGTTTAAACATGGAGAGGCCCATTGTCTGGGTGAGACAGTTATTTCCAGATGAACACGTCAGCCTTACGTGAAAGCTGAATTGTTAACATACAGTAGTGTCCAAGAAAAATCCACCCAAACCCAAAAGATGATAAAAAAGGTTCGCATTAATTCTATTAACAACAAATGCTAAAAACACGGATGACAAAAAAAAGGCTAGAAAAGCAAAGAACTAGATTTAATTGGGAAGGACCTGTGCTCTTCTGAGAGGTCTTCATCTCCACGGGCATTCTCATCGTCTCCATCTAAAGAATCAGTTTCCCTCCTTTGGATGTCTTCCTGTAGCTGCTTTTCTAGTTCATCTACCCTGAAACAACAGCAGCAGCAGAACATCTGATCACCATTTACTGTTTACAAGAGGAGAAAACAAAACTTAAGCTGTGAAAGTGACGCGAGGAGTCAGTAGCCAATTATGCACCACAAAAGCATGTGAGACATCACATCTGGGCAGAAAGCAAGCACCTGCCTGTTCCAAGACAGAAAGGGGATGTTTCCCAAAGCCTAAGGAGTTTCCACCAGCACATCCCATCGGTAGTTTATCAGGGACAAAAACACTCCACCAACTTCTGGGAGAATTTTTTGCAATCGCACAAAACTTTCAATCTTCTGGATGGTTTGTTGTGTGGGTTTGTTTAGTTTTAAACATCATCCTAGTATTTTCTTTATGAAATAGTATTAGTTCTAGGAGCATTCACTACTCCACAGTCAGTCAGCCCAGAGTTATAGGGTCAGATTCTTTACTAAAAGCAGTTAATCACACACATAGACCCATCACCACCACTTACCCACAGACCACATCACACTTTCTACCCCAAAGACCTTTTGGGAGAACACTCATTAGTTGTGTTCACTCAGCTGTGTAACGACTCAGACACCAACAGCCCACACAACTTTGGAAACCAAAACTCAGCTACAAATGCCTTTGGAGCAACCAGGACAGTCGGGCTACACAAATACTTCTCCTTCACGCCCCAGCAGCAGCTGCCAGCTGGCTCAGTGACCGACAACGAGGGCACCAGGAAATTTAGTCCCGTTCTTAAGGGCTGGGCAGACCCATCACAAATCACTCATTATTGCTTGGAAGGAGCCCCTCGTTCAGCTTTTACAGAGGAGCTGCACTTGTGGATCCATCAGATGTCAGGCTGGTGGCATCAGCTGGCAAAGCTTAGCTTGTTCCTACCCAAACTCCATCAGCTTCAGGGAGACAAGGTGAATCTAAGCTTCGACAACTCCATCCCCAAATTTGCAAAGCAGCTCTAAGAAACAAACCTTTTAGATTCTGCTTTCTCCTTCAGGAGATTTTCTAAGCTGTTCACATACGACACCTGGCTAACAACAGGAGGCTTAGAAAGCTGTAAATGAAACAGGAAGAAATTAGAAAAATACCACAAGCTATCAATTCATTCAGTTAGACAATAAACAAAATAAAATAGAAACCTCTTCCCGTTCTAATGACAACAAACAAAACAACACACAAAGAAACTCTTAACCACTAGCAGAACTGGTTTTGTTTTTCAGCAGCCAGTGTTTCATTCAGGTAGTAGCAGACAACAGATTTGAAATCTTTTATGGCCATGATTCAGTTCTTTGGACAAGAAGTGCCTTTCTGACACCACCTTCTATAAATTGCATGTCTCTTACAAGTAACGAAGCTTTTTCCATGAGCTCCTTTGTTTTAGGAGAACACAATTAAATTTGAGCATACCCTCTCATTGGGGATTTTCTATTAACCAAAGGTAACAGAATTTAATTTAAGAAGTTAGTGTCCACCTTGTAATAAAAATACAGCATTAATTTTTCGTATTCAGATATATCTGGCAAATATAACAGGCAGCGTGACTTTGAGAAGTGAAGACCTCTATTTCATAATCTAGTTAGTGTGTCTAAAACTGTTTTTGTATATTTAAATAACTGAGGAATCAAGACTTTATTCCAATATGCACATATGCCCCTTCTTCCAAGACTAAAGAATGCTAGTAAACACAAAAACCATGGCAATGGAAATTTTGGGATAGTTCTTAACTGTTTTGTCTCACTTAGCCATTAATTATGCAGAAACAGGATAGGCCAAACGTTGTGGTCACATACATGTGGTCACATGTCACATGGTCACATTTGATCTAGGCTGCATCTGTTTATCAGTCTTAGTCATTAATTACGTTGGTTAAGATCGTGGAATACGTACGTAACCACACAAGTCTGATTTATAACTTGCTTGCATAAGGAATTGTAAGGAGAGAGAAAATAATTACAGCTGTTCCACATCTGCCTACGGAGATAGGAACTCAGTCAACAAATAAACAGTTTCAGAGATTTAAGAACAGGAGGAGAGGAGGACAAGAGTACTTAAGCAGGGATTCTGCTGCTTGGTTTCTACTGCAGAAGATGGCTGTGGGCTGACAGCTTGTTCGCTTCCTGACCCAGTGACGCAGGCAAGTGAATGAGAAGAGCAAAAGCAAGAAAACTCGTGGATGGAGATAAAGACAGTGTAATTAGTGATGGAAGAGGGGATAAAGGGGGAAAACAAAACGTGGTGCAATCACTCAGCATCTCCCACACACAGAAGGATGCCCAGCTACACTCCAAGTAACAGCTCAGTAACGTGCCAGACCAACTCCCCCTGCTTGGTGTTTATGAGCATGACACTATGTGGCATGGAATATATCCCTTTGGATATCTGGAGCCAGCTACCCAGGTATTAATTATCTCTGTGGCTTCTCAAAATTAAAAACTGTTCAGGAAACTGATGGGTTTTTTTTCATAGAATCATAGAACAGTTTGGGTTTGAAGGGATCTTGAAGATCATTTAATTCCACCCCCCCTGCCCTGGGCAGGGACACCTCCCACCAGACCAGGTTGCTCCAAGCCCCATCCAGCCTGGCCTTGAACCCCTCCAGGGATGGGGCAGCCACAGCTTCTCTGGGCAACCTCTGCGAGGCTCTCACCGCCCTCACAGCAAAGAATTTCTTTCTGGTATCTCATCTAAATCTCCCCTCTTTCAATTTAAAACCATTACCCCTCGTCCTATGGCTCCACTCCCTGACCAAGAGTCCCTCCCCATCTCTCCTGTAGCCCCTTCAGGTACTGGAAGGCCGTTAGAAGGTCTTCCTGGAGCCTTCTCTTCTCCAGGCTGAAAGCCCCCAAATGGGAAGAAAACCCATTCCAACAGGTCCATGTCCTTCCTGTGCTGAGGACTCCAGAGCTGGACACAGCACTCCAGGTGGGGTCTCACCAGAGCAGAGCAGAGGGGTAGAATCCCCTCCCTGTCCCTGCTGGCCACGCTTCTCTTGATGCAGCCCAGGATGCAGGTGGCTTTCTGGTCTGCCAGTGCGCACTGCCGGCTTGTGTCCAGCTTAGTAGCTATTCAGCTTTTTGAAATCCCTTCTAAAATATATCCAATTTCCATGAAATTCAACCTCAGAGAAAGCCTCACACTTACAAATCAAGAACTCACCCACAGATTTCCTGCAATCACTGACTGTGAGAAGGATGTATCACTGGAGTCTAGCACACAGACCTCTCAACATCTAGATCAACTTCCTCTAGCTAACTTCAACTCAGACAAGTCTTGCCTGATCAGGAAAATTAAAACATTAGACTCCACACATCTTCTGAATGTAACCTCCTGCCTTTTTCTTTTGGGCAAAAAAAGCGAAAACAGAATTCCTAAAAAGCACCAAAGGCATAGAGCAAATGCAATCCACCTGCAGGGACCATCTTTCAACAATTGCAAGGGCAAGCACAGCAACAAGCACACTCTTCCTCTGACTTCCCTGCACTCCACAGCATAGGACACTTAAACTGAGTAACCAGGTTTACAGGCAAGTGACTCTCAAGTTTTCATGCACTATGAATAAAAGAAAAAAATCATATAAAAAAATACAACATAACAAAGTTGATGCGATGCTTTTTTTGTTGTTTTTTAAGCACTTACATGAAGCTTCAGTAACGGACTCATGGTTTCCTGAGAAAAACTGTCAAGACAAGATTCCTCTGGGGTTCCTGCCTGTGGCTTGGGACTTGAAGAGAGAATTTCTTGCAGTGGCACAAATACTACATCATCGTCGTCGTCGTCGTCATCATCTAGACTGCATTCCAAATTCTCATCTTCACTATCAAAGCTGCTTTTTGATTTTCCATTCAACTTGGACTTGTCTGTACAGGTGCTTTCGGCGTTTAACTCTCCTGAGAGTTGTGAAGATGTATGGCCACTGTCCGTGCATCCTTCTTTAAAAGACAACGAACGGGGAACACTTTTACCAGTCTCTTCTGAGAGTGTGAGTTTCCCAGAACCTTCCGCTGAACAAGAATCAGAAGCGTTTTCTGAAGCCTTGTCTTTTGCTGTTGAAAAACTGTTGCCCGAGTGAATACTGTAAGCTTTATTGTGTGTGTGTCTTTCTGCTCTTTTCCCATCTTCCTCCTTCGTAGCATCCAATACCTGAGATAAGCCAGCATCCTGGAGATGAGATTCCACACCTTTTGTTTGTGTTAAGTGGTAGAGAGAAGGCAACACAGTACTTTTTTCCTGAGAAAAAGGAAGTGACTTTTCCAAGAAAAAGCATGAGTTAGCCACCTGCAGCTGATTCTCTTTGGTATCCACAGCAGTAATATGGTTATTTTTACCAGGACTATGTGCAGAATATGAAGATGACAAATCTCCAGAGGAACAATTCTTTTTCTCATTTTCATCACTTGAGTTGAGGTATTCCTCCGGAAGAGCAGAATCATACCTAGGTAGAGCAGCAGCCTCCATTAGTTGCAGGACGTTACCGCAAGTAGACTTTAAAAGGATATTTTTTACAAAGTCAGACCTCCTATTTTTGCATTCTGCGGACGATCCACTAAAAGCAGGGTCGTTCAAAAGTGATAGTTCAGGTTGATTCGAGCTGTCTGCATCCACACTCGTGGCAGCACGTTTCCTTTTCCCAGGAAAGTCTATTTGTTTGGATTGCCCAGAAGATATCTTGGATGTAAGGCAGCGTGAAGGAACAGGCTGGCTCTTCTGCATCTCAGATGACATTCCCAGTCCATTTGGAGATGCCTCATGTTTTGAAACCTGCTTTGGTTGAGATGGGTCATCTATGAAGTGTTTAAGAAAAAAAAATGTAAACCACTGTTGTCACATTTAAAACATAATTAAAAAAACACCCCAGAACCATAACAGCTGACCCTTTAAAAAACTAACTTCTGTTTTTAAGTCATAGTTGACTGACATTTTTATCACAAACTACAACACTCCCATTCTGCTTGAACACAGTGGACCACAACTAATATTTAGCTGATACTGTTATGTTATTATTTTAACTAGTTTGGAAATGAAATTAAATCCTTTTATTTTAAAGCAACTCAGTTGCCACTGTAGAACACTTTCCTATACACAGGAATCAATCAATCTTTGGAAACAGACAATAGCCCAGTTGAGGTACAGGACTGGAGGAAAGTTTCTGTAATTACATATACAATTATAAATAACGAACAGTATGAAAAGTGTTTTGGAGATACTGCAATAATTTAAACAGCACTCATGAAAAAGCATCCAGAAAACTGGGCTCCCCAGTTCAAGAGGGACAGGGAACTGCTGGAGAGAGTCCAGCGTAGGGCAACAGAGACGATGGAGGGGTTGGAGCATCTCCCTGATGAGGAAAGGCTGAGAGAGCTGGGGCTCTTCAGCCTGGAGAAGAGAAGGCTGAGGGGAGACCTTCTTCATGCTGACAAGTCTCTAAAGGGGGGGTTTCTACTGCTTTCTACTCATGTGAGTTTTTTATGCTGTTCTACCCATCGTCGAAAAAAACTATGTGGTTAAAAGGGACAAAAAAGGAGCAAGAATACCAGCTGAACTTGGTTCAACAAGAATGTTCTTGTTGGATTAAGCTGAAAGGCAGAATTAGTTAACCACCACAATGAATGTGGATTTTGCAAAATGCAAGAGAAACCATGAAAATAATAATGGATTAACGGTTTAAGAGAAAGAAAAATCATTACTTCTAATGAAGTTACAATGTTTTTCACTAAAATCCCAAATTACTTTTAAACCTCTTCAAGCTTGCTATAAATTAGATATGACCTTGACTAAACAGCAGCCTTTTTTGAGAAAGAGAAGACAGAAAAATGTAACTTCAAGAAAAAAAAAAAGCCATTAGAGACACTAAATGATGAACCCGACTGTTTAATCAATTCCATGTTATCAGCACTACTCCTACCTGAGGCGGTCTCCCTTGAACCAGAACACGGTATTTTTCTTAAAGGACATCCGTTTCCCTAAAAGTAAAGATGGAGAAAATAAAAGAGTTAATTGCATACTTTTTAAAACCAGGACACTGACATCTTGAGCCAAGTGTTGAACCCAACACAGACTCAGTTCCGCACCCCCCCAGAAATATACTTCATTTCAAGACAAACTTAAAACACAGCTGCAAAGATCTCAACAAAAGGACTCTCCACAACCCAAATTTTATATCTTTTCTGCAGATTGGCCTCCAGTTCTAAATCTCTCCACTTTTATGGCCAGTAGCCACTTGTGTCCCTGGCCTATATGGCAACATAGACCACCTGGCTTTCCTCAAACAAGTATTAGGAACTTAAATAACAAAATGACAGAAAGCACAGACAAGCAAATACAGAGGGAGGGGTGCTAAGGAGAAAAGGGAATACAAGCTAAACAATCTTCTCTTCCCATTCATAGCACATTATGGAGGCACATATAACCATCTTCCCTGTAAGTAACAAGCAATCTTTTAAAGGATTTTCTTGGTTGGTAAAAAAAGTGAATATAATTCAACCTGTAATGAAATACGTACTTAATAGGATCATTCCCACCTCTATCTAAATACTGTGGCTGAAGTGCATAAACCTGAATGGCTATTAACTGCAGCTTCTAACTAGCAGAAGTTTGCCAGGCTGTTCTTACACTACATTGTAAGAAAACACAAGGTTATAAGACATTTAGGATAAACACCCTTTTTCTACAAAATACAAGTTACAATTTCCATTGCACTTCCATCCTTGCATCTAACCTAGAATACCTCTGCTGCTTTTAAACTGGGATTTCTCATTTATCATAAACTCATTAAGAACTGCCTTAGCAAGCATAACCTAAAATTTACAAAGGAATAGCAAAAGAGCATAAACTTTTTTTTTAACATCTGAAAAATGCAGCACCAAGAATCTCATCCTATGTTGAAAAAGAAAAAAATATTTTTAAAAATATCACATGCACAACAGGTCCCTGATTTTCACCTTTAAGGACTCTTTCAAACACACCTGATGTGATACACTTGTTCCTGAGAATGGCTTTACAGGCTTAGATTGTTTCATTCTATGTTTCTTCCGCTTCCTTTCTCTGCGGAGAGCTTCCAGTGACAACCGAAACTCAGAGTCAGCTGGAATGCAAGGAAATTTCATGGGAAGACCGGGGTTTTGGCACAGAGATGTGCTGTTCACAGTGCCATTATTTCTAGCACAGGCTTTTCGAGTATCAGCTTCCGGTGAAACCCATTTGTCAGAGTCTGAACTAGTGTCTTCTAGAGCCATACAGTCAGTTTCCTGTTCCCAACTATTTCCACAAGAAAAGGGTGCTCTTGTTACACTCAGACACTTCTCATTTCTTTCCTGTTCTGACTTGAGAGCTTTATCTTTTTTGGCCAAGAGCGAGCTGCGAGACCCTGCAGGAATAAGGATCTTTCGAATCGCAACTTTTGGGTACAACGAGCTCAGTGCCTTGCATGCTCTGCTAGTCTCTAAAATCTTTACACTGTCCTTTTTCTCCTTAATTCCTCTGCAAAAGGCATCTACCAGAGGACTTGTGTTTGGTGTTTGGTCTGGCATCTTTTTTCTTCTGACCTTCTTTGGAGAAGATGCTTTATTTTCAAAATGCTCAGCGCATAAAACTGACAGGCCGATTCCTGCATCTTTTACATTTCCTCTGTCCGGTGAGCCCAACACGGTTCTGTCCTTATGGCCAAGGTCTGAGAGAGAAAAGAAAAGACAAATCATTCACAATCATAATATTGGGAAAAAAAATATATCTTATTGGACTACACTACTTGATATTTTATCCATCACATGCAATCTGAAGTTAATTTACTTAATTATTTAGTTTTGCTAGTGCCATGTGATTTATTTTGTATCAAAGAATTTCATGGTCTATGTCACAGCTTCAGTTGTTATAAACAATCTAGCTTAAGCATGAGACAGTACCTTGAAATAGTAATTACATCATTACTTAAAGAAATAAATTTTAATAGGAAGTTAACATTTTCAGTTACATTATTGGAAAAAATCTCAAATGTCCACATTTTGACATATTTGGTAAGCTATACTCATCATATTGCTGCTCCAATTTGGAACAGGATTGGATATGCTTCTGCTCTCATATAAATGTCTTCCATTTAAAAAACCCCATATAATTACCTTGGTTTAAAACTGGTTTGAAGAACTCTGTAATGGTCTGGTTTCTGAAGAGAAAACATAAATTTATATTTTTAAAAGAACAATATCTAAATACCCATACAGTGACTACTGATAAAATTAAAGTGCTGTAATTTCTACAGATATTTTTTTTTTAAATGGCAGCAGCTCTAATTTCTCCTAGCTATTTCTGTAAGATGAGAGAAAGCATCATCATCCTCATCACCTTGTAGCCTTCACTCTTGTTTGGCTAATGAAGCCAAGCTGTCAGCTTCCTCCCTCTTTATCATCCTAGTAAGTCTTAAATCAGGCTTTCAGCTTAAATTAAGCTTTCAGAAACTGGACTTATCTCACCTGTGTCCAGTATTCTAGATGAGAACTCACCAGTACCTTACATGATGGTGTTAACAACCTCCTCATCTCAACTGTCAACACTTTGACTTGGTAACTCCTACTGCATTTTTTTAAGGTGTTAGTAAGCAGCTGGCCTTATCAACACCATACTATTACCAGACTTCTTATTACCTGCTCTGGTGGGAGGTGTCCCTGCCCAGGGCAGGGGGGTTGGAACTCAATGATCTTTAAGGTCCCTTCCAACCCAAACCATTCTGTGAGTCTATAATTCTCAGCAGGAACTCGTACCACCACTGCCACTTCACAAAATACACACGTCTGCAGCTCCCTCCCAGCACACATCACAGGCATCTTCTGGCTTCCAACAGAAACAGCTGACAACCATCTTCATTTTTACACAACAAGTTAATTAATGGCTTTAAATTGGAGGTATTTTCCCTGGTAAGAATAAGTGGGACGTGAGAACACCAAGGCATTTCTCCGTGACAGAATGTCACTTCTAAAAATGGGCAGATTGTCTGAGTAACCTTCAATGTGACCATTAAAAGTACACGAAGAACTCTGAACTGGCTATCTTCATCTTCTGCCGCAGAGCAAGTAAGTTTACTAACGACTTCAAGGCTATGCTTGTGCCTCTTTTGGAAGTGTCTCTTCAAGTTCCAACAAGATACTGGTGTGAGAAAGCAAGAATAATACACATTTGTTCAAGATCACTTTCCAACTTTTGTAATCTTTCTGTGCCTTCCAAAACAAAGCTCTATCGTTATTCTCTGCGTAACAGCGATTACAAAGGCAACACTTATTTATTTGAAGATAACATATTCAAGCATCCGTACGTGACTCTGCTTTCACAGACTCAAGAACCATTTTTGAAGCTCAGGCCGGAAGAACCCACTGCTCACCGGTTCAAACTAAACCTGGATTTCATTTTGAATCTTTCTGTAAGCTTGTTACTTTCACTTTTGCATTTTCTAACATGGCTTCTGCTTTTTTAGCACTTACCTGAGTACAAACAGCTGTTTATAACGCGGTGATACTTCTTTAATCAGGCTGCCAGTAAGCAGTGATGTTTGAGAATACTGTCACTCCATGAAAAGCCACCCGTAATCAGAATATGCCAAATTCATAAAACTGTCTTTTTGACTTATCAAAGAGACCAGAAAAACTACTTGCCAAAAGACTACTTGCCTCTGATCCGTCCCAGCTTCATTTGACGTGGGTCAAGATATGCCCATTCTCCCCACAGGCTGGAGCAACAGGGTCCCCAAATTTCAGTTCGACAGAAGAATCAGAAGACTAAACTGCAGATTTATTCACCGTTATGGCTGTTGCTGAGTGATTTGTCCTCGTGCCCCAGACCACCTCCCACTCGCACACCCTGACCTCACCTTCCCACAGCACTTGCTCTCTCCACCTTGCATTCCTCAGGGCACTCCCAAGGCTCGTCACTGCTCGAGCAGCTGCAAAATCACCCCGTGCCCACAACTTCCTGCACTGCCTGTCTTTCCAAAACCCTGCTATTTTTCTAATTAAGCAACCGGACTTCCTCCTTCTAGGTTAAAGCCCCATCTGCAATAGCAACCACCGTCAGCAGCCCAAATGCCATCTTCAGTTGAAACCTCTCAGATTTCTCTCTATGTTGAAGTCTTGAAGACAAACCAAACCCAAAGCTTTCTGCTCACTTTTTCTCCTTTCCGCAGCCAGTGGTTTCCAACAACTGCTCCCCTCCCTCCCACATCCACTGTCTCGCTGCTGTATCCATTTGCTGCCTTTTATTTTAAGTGCAATAGCTTAAAAACAAAATTCACGTTTGTTCCGTGATTATACAAAGCCTTGTATAACACAACTGAGAGACTGGAGGCACTACCACTGGGGAAAAAAAAAAATAAAAGGTTTTAAAAAAAACCTCTTTTTCCCCCCATGATAAAGTTTAGCTTGAGCAGAGAGCGTTTTGTCTTTGATTATTTGTTTTAAAAGTGCTTATCCACTGACATTTTCTACTTTGCAGTCTACTGCTTTTTGGAGGAACAAGGGACAGGAACTGTCCAACTAAAACAGAATAATAATATCTCTACTGTATCTCAGACAAGGAAGTGTACTAGAAGCTTTTAAAAAAAGCAAAGGTTGAAAATAAAGGAAGCATGTGAGATAGTACAAGGAGGAACATGAGAAAGTACTGGGCTTTCAAACCTGCTTCTCTTATATATATGGAAGTACAAAAAGAACATGTGAACAGGACCGTAACTGTTCACAGGAGGATTTTCACTATTGTTTTAATAAGAGGTCAAATAGCCCTAAAAGGATGAGGAACTAATACGAGACATGAAAGTCAGTTGTTTAATGGATCTTCATCAACAGCTATATAGCTCTGGCTAATGCTTTTGAGCAAGATGCATTAATTCAGCAAAAAAAAAAAAATTTATCCAGGCTAAAAATTATTCCATCGTTTTGTGTGAAGTCTCATCTGAACTGAGACACCAGGGAGACACTAAAAAAACCCACAGAAGAAAAGGCAAAATCCATAAATACATGATCTCACTCGACAAAGGAAAAAGCTACACAACTAGGCGCTGCAGGTAACAGACCTTCCAGGTCTTTTAAGATTAAGGGCACAAAAGAGGGAGGGAGGAAATTCTCTTGCTTGTTTAAAAAGACCAAATTCCTTTAAAATTAAGTAGCATTTACAGCCACATCAGTGGTTAACTCCGGTTGGATAAAAACTGCTTTAAAAAAAAAAATCTGTTCTGGAAACACTAGCAATAGCTCAGAGAAAGCAAAGCCACACAATATAAGAATAAACTACAAGATGTAACTACATCTTTGACAAAATGGAGCATCTTGAAAAGCCTTGTAGAAATAACAACAACAACAAAGAAGAACAGTCTTTTACACAACCGCAGCAAAACCAAAGTAGTTTCACTTTCATGGGCAAGAAGCAACACAGAAGTGAAACTGAACTTTTACCTTCTCCCTTTCCTCCAAATACCAGGGCTATCAAAGATCAGCAGAAACCAGCAAAGTGAGGTGCTGCTAACAGCATAAGAAAAGTATGACTTGCCTCATACTGCAAAAAAACAGAACTTATTTAACTCAGCAGCCTCTGGAAAGCTTCATGAAGCCTTTGGCAGAATTTAGATTTCGAGCTGGTTGACAGGTTTGTCATGTCTAAAAACTTGTCACTGACCACCACTGGACCACCTCCTCGATGGAGACCTTGTCCTTCAGCACCGTTTGCGGTACAGTCCGCCACAGGAACACGCTTGACAGCAGACAACCAAAGTGACAGGTGACAACCAAAGCTCTCTCTCTCTTTACGGAATCACAGAATTGTCAGAGTTGGAAGGGACCTCTAGAGACCCTCCAGTCCAACCCCCCGGCCAAAGCAGGGTTGCCCAGAGCACATCACTCAGGAGCATCCAGGCGGGGCTTGAAGATCTCCAGAGAAGGGGACTCCACACCCTCCCTGGGCAGCCTCTGCCAGGGCTCTGCCACCCTCACCCCAAGGAAGTTCTTCCTCCCATTGGAGTGGAACTTCCCATGGTCCAGCTTGTGCCCGTTGCCCCTCGTCCTGTCCCTGGGAACCACTGGAAAGAGTCCGAGCTTTAGAGCTGAGCTGCCAGAGCCCTCCCAGCTCTACAGGTTTGCTGCCACCACCAAACACCAAGACGTGCGATGGGAAGACACACAGGCATGTAGGGGAGGACTCATGTGTTTTGAAGACACCAAGTCAGCACTTGGCCAGACATCTCCTTGGGTTTCTTTGTATCATAGAATCACAGAACGCTTAGAGTTGGAAGGGACCTTAAAGATCACCTAGTTCTAACGGGGGGTTTGGAACATGGGCAGGGACACCTCCTACCAGACCAGGTATGCTGCCCGGTTGCCTGGCAACTAGAAGCCGCCAAATAAAACATACAAACTACCATCGCCAGAGGAGAACCGGGGCCAGGAACCTCTTGGGGGGTGAGGCCAGGAACCTCGGGG